AGAGGGTGGGGGAGGGAGTGAGTGTGGGAGAGAGAGAGAGAGAGAGAGAGAGAGAGAGAGAGAGAGAGAGAGAGAGGCCTACTCTGGAGCCCAGGCTGTCATGGAATTCACTATATAGCACAGGCTTGTTTCAAATTTGTGGAAATTCTCCACAAATTTCTCAGATGGGAAGATTACAGATGTGAATTGCCAAACTTGGCTCAAAAAACATTAAAGGAAAAATTCCTTTCCCTCCCTGAACCCATTTGTTAATAGAAAATACACAAGGTGTTGAGAAGAGCATGGATACAAATGGTTCTCAATCTAGTGCTTGTACCTTTATACCCAAGTGTGGTAGCTCTTAAACACTTACTTACTCTTGTATTTTTCCATTCCTTAAAATAAATCCCAGATTCTCTTTAATTAAAGTTTAAAAAGCAACAAAACTTCATGATCCTAAAATAGCTCCATTTTGAAGGCATCCATAGCTGTGGAAGAAGATTCTACTGAAGACTTAAGAAACTTGAATGACAAATGGCACAGTCATTACAGCATCCTCTGAAATGTCCATACACATCTACTGCTTATGTTGTTAACCATGTCTTTCACAGGAGACTTGACTTGACAGCTCACAGGTGTGTGCCTGGCACCGGGCAAGAAACTCAATAACTTGAAAACTAAATATCTAGAAAATGAATGTTTAGAAATGGTTTTATTTCACTCACTTGTCACAGAATTGAGTCCTATATTATGAGAAAGAAACATTGAGCCTCTCCTTGTTGGATAGCTGCGCAGTTTTCTCTGGAATTGGTTCTCCTGTGATGAAGAAAGGATAACTGAGACTCCTGCCTGGGAAATCGCTGCGTGCTACCTGACAGGGACAAGGTAACTATTTCCTCAGCTGCCAGAGAGAAGATAAAAGGGAAGGGTCTCTGTGAGAACCAAGGACCATACAAGTAGCAGAATGAAGCTGGCTCGTGGTAGTGCACAGCTTTAATCCCAGCACTCAGGAGGCAGAGGTCAGTGGATCTCTGTGATTTTGAGGTCAGCCTGGTGTACAGAGTTAGTTCCAGGACAGCCAGAACTACATAGAGAACCCCTGTCTGAAAAACCAACAAACATTATTTGAGGCCCAGTTCTCTGTAGAAAAAGTTGAATCTTAAGACAGGATGTGCAAACTTTTTCAGGATTTTCTAAATTTAGAAGATATTCTTTACAAAGGATCAGTCGTGGTTCAGCACTGTAGTGCCAAGTGTGATTTCCTCCCATCTCATGAGCCTGTGGCCTCCTCAGTGTCAAACAGACTTTGCTTTCTCTAGCCAAACCATCGGCAGCACATGGACCTCATCAGAATAGATGAGAACAGCACAGAGACCTTGTTAAAGAGATGAGAACATACCTTCCTTTGTACTAGTCACTATGTATAATTCCAAGACCCTGGCAGGAGAGATGATGACTGGGTAGGAAACTTCTTTGAACTTCAAATCAAGCCCTAAAAGAGAGAAGAATTATCATAACTGGGGATAAAATCAGACATGCTGGGCTTGGTGGCACAAGCCCATAATCCTGGTGGTTCAGGAACAGGGACCCAGAGAGCCTCTGCACCAAAGGTTTAAAAAGTGAAGGGAGCAGAGGATATTGCTCAATTGGAGAGCTCTTGTCTAAGATGGGTGATACTCCAGGTTTCTTTCTCAGTGCAAAAAGAGGAGGAGGGGTGGGAAGAGGAAGAGGAGGGAAGAGGAGGAGGAGGAAGGGGAAGATGAGGAACAGGAAGAGGAGGAGGAGGAGGAAGTGGGGGAGGAGGAAGAGGGGAAAACACACCAGCTAGATTTCATTTAATTTCACTTTGCAAATAAAACTGTGACCTAGAACTCATTAAAATGAAATAAGACCAAGGCAAAGGAAACCCATTGTCCTTCTCAGTTGTTTCTCCTTTCTCACTGAGGCTTACCATCTATAGATCTTATCCTCGAAAACTTAGTAAGACAAAGATCAGTTTTACTAATTTGTTGGTGCCAGAAAAAAATCTTAACCTCCCCACCTTTCAATCTAATCACATTCTATAGTTTGAATGAAAGGCCAAAGTGCTGTGTGAATCAGGAAGGTCACTCTGTAACAAGCTGGCCATCAGCAGAGCCAAAGAAAGAACCCCTGCCCCCAGCTGAGATTCTGCTTTGTGACCAATACTATGACTTTCTCCTCCTTTCAGTAGTTTGGGTCTCCACACAGGAAGGAGGAACTGCTTCTCTGCCACCCACCGACAGAGGTGTTGCCTATGACGAGTGGAGCACTGGGGTACTTCTTTTTCAGTCCCAGGAGGTCTTTTAGGGTTCCTGGGGCAATCCAGGTAGTCTTCTCTCCACAAAAAGTCAGAATTGTCCTTTGGGGATCCTCTGCCATCCTCTGTAGTATTTAAATTCAGACAACAAAGATGTCAGTGACAAAACACACACAGACTTTGTCACAGCTAACTACTGAACAGACAGGAACCGTGGATAACAAAACAAAGACAAGTCATTTATGTCTTAACTCATAATTAATTCCTTTGAATATGTTTCTCATCTCTTATAGCTTAAAAAAATGAAGTGGATTTTAGTGAGGTCTTAGCATAAACAAACAAGAGTCTTACACACACAATCTTATGTCAATTTCCCAAACAAAGAAATGACTGTAGACCCAACTATCAATGACGATAGACTATCAGCAGGGTATTGAGCACATGTGGGCTGAACTTTATGTGGTATTACCAGGCAGAGAATCATGCTGAATATAACAGGAAACAGGAGTCCCAGGCTCTAGTCCCAGCATGGCTACTAAGTACCCAGATCAATTTAGGCAAACTCTGGACTCTCTTCATGTCTGTCTTGATGTGTGTGAAAAGTAAGGATGATGTATGAATGTCATTTGGGTCTCTGTGGTCTCTGAAGTATGGGGCAAGGCTGTTTTGCTGAAGAACAAAAAGCAACCCAATCCCAAACAACCACAAACACATGAAAACCTAGACTGCCAAGCTTTTTAAAGCCAGTGGGACCCCTCACTGATGTCTATGGAGTCCTAAGCAAGACTGAGAACTTAAAAGCTACTGATTGGATGTCTCAGTTGCTAACATGGAGAATTTCTTCAGGTTTTCCTCCCTCAATTTCTCTAAAACAAATGGCTGTGAAATAAATATTCATAAGGATAATTTTATGCTTAGTCAAGCAGACTCAACTTTAGTTTCCTTCCTTTCTTGTCTCTTGTGGACTTCCTGTGCCCTCTGTTCTGATTTGATACAGAAATCATTTAATATGCTTCTATTTTCTGTCTAAAATAATTTCTACCCTACTAAGTGAAATCACATTTGGCATTATTTTACAGTGAGCAGGAAAGAACGAGAAAACATGACAACAACTCATCTAGTTTTACCAAAGAAAAAATATAACAAGGGCCAAATTAGAGATGTGGCCTTGTCAAAGTGACCCAGATCATTAAAGTGAAGAAGACATGAACACCAGGACAGCAGGCTCCTTGCTTGGTGTCCTCTAAAACTGGAGTTCTGGGCATTTGGAAGAAGCATGACTTCAACAGTTTCTGCCAGTTAATATTAGGCAATCATTTCTCAAGCCGGGATAGAATTGCTTAATTTGTGTCAAATGAACTTTGATGATACCCTTGTAAGAATATTTTATGAAAACACGATTGCTCTTTGTGGGAACATCCACAGGGAAGATCTTTTGGTATAATTTCCATGTTATAATGGATCATCTCACTGAGAAATTTTCTCCTACAGGAATCCTGGCAGAAGGCTGCTGGGAACTAGTTGTCACCAAAGGCAGATTGGTTAAATGAAAACTTCTCTATTGCTGGAAATGTTGCATTAAGTTATGTCTGTATGTGGAGTAGGGAAGAATGATGACAGGAGAGTTCCTGGGCCCATGAGAAAACTCTGATGCCAAAATGTCCCATAGGCTCTCATCAGGTGAAGCCAGCACTTCTCAGTAGAGTCTAAGCACTGCTGGCACTACCCCCACAACACACTTTAGGGGTTCTAAAGTCAAAACAGTTTTATAATGAAGAGTAAACGATTTGCATTCTTCCTTGACATTGTCTCAGGAGTGTATGGTGTAGTGTAAAAATGCTCCGTGGTGGGTGCTCTCACACCTGTCTGCAGCTTAAAGCTGCAGATGCTGTCACTTAAGTCATAGTTAGAAAGACGTAAAGAAATCCTGAACAATGTCACTGTTGTTACTGAATTTGGTTACCAAACAGCAGCTGACTAGCATCTGTAGTTAGTTTCAGAAGATCTTCCGCCCTCTTCTGGCTTCTATGGGCATTGCACACATGGTGTACAGATAATACATTAAGGCAAAACACCCACACACATAAAAATAAAGAAATATTTTTTAAAATGTTTGCTCTGGATACTTATACAGAAATGAATAATTAAAATGGTGCCTTGAATTGCACACACTACACCTGTCAATAGCTATAAGCCACATAATAAAAACTCGTTGGGTTGTTATTTTTTGAAGATATAAGCATCAATGAAACCACACCAAGCCAAACCAAACAAAAAGGAAAAAAAAAAGCCAAGAACCGTGTAGAGTGGTGGTGCCTGGGTGTAGGGTAATCCTGTTTAGAGGTAATGCTGACCCAGAGGAGCAAATAAGGGCAGAGGCCCAAGTGGGGACAACCTGATGGGACTGTTCATTTTCTCCCAAGTGCCATAAAACTGAGTAAAGCAAGGGAAAACAAACCATTAGTTCAGGGGGGAATATTAACTCCTGGGTTGGATCCAAGGGCTGAAATTCTTCTTTTTCATATAATTTGGTGTCAACCTGAAGAAGAAAAAAATTGTTTTAGTCTTTGTGGCAAAGATTAGTACATGGTTCTTAGCTGCCATGTATTGAATATCTATTTCCTGTTTGAAAAGCCTGGACTGGGGACTGGGACATAAGGGCAGTGACAGGAGAGGGCAGAGGAGGGGAAGAGAGGCTGTAGAGAACTGGAGAGGGGAGGAGAGGCAAGGGGGAACTGCAGAGGGCAGGGGAGGGTAAGGGAGGGCAGGGAGAGCAGGAGAGAGCAAGCTGGAGAGGGGAGGAGAAGCTGCAGAGAGCTGGAGAGGGGAGGAGAGCCTTCAGAGAGCTGGAGAGGGGAGGAGAGCCTCCAGAGAGCTGGAGAGGGGAAGAGAGGCTGCAGCGAGATGGAGAGGCAGGGGATATTTAGGTAGGTAGCAGGAGTAAGTAGGAAGCAGTTAAGAGGCTGCTTTGTGTCCAGCCCCAGGCAGATTGAATAGAACTTTGTAGTTGTGTAGAGTTGGAATTTTGCTGATTTAGAGCCAAAATTACCTTGGGCTTTTAGTTATTGGTGTTTTGTTTTGTTTTGTTTTGTTTTGTTTTTTGAGACAGGGTTCTCTGTATTGCTTTGGAGCCTGTCCTGGAACTCACTCTGTAGACGAGGCTGGCCTCCAACTCAGAGATCTGCCTGCTTCTGCCTCCCGAGCACTGGAATTAAAGGTGTGCATCACTAATGCCCAGCCTTTTAGTCTTCTTAATAGTCATTTGTTGCCCACCTTTGGGTCTGACCTAACATCCCGTTGATTATTAGGGAACACTTTGTAAAGTAGTAAGCAATCTACTAGCTTCCACCAACCACAAAGCTAAGGATGTCAAGTGCTAGGATTAAAGGCACAGGGCACCACACCTGGCTATGGCTTCTTTTTCTTTTTTAAATGTGACTATAGGATTCCTGTGATGGCTTCCATGTGAGACCTGTCATTCAGGACAATGTGCATCTCTGTTCCCAGACCATGGTCACTTACACTGGACTCAGACTTAGCTGTCCCTTACATCCTTTGGAGTAGGAGTTGTGTTTTGCAGTTACAGGGAGTTGTGGAGATCAGGTTGTCTCACTGAGTTACTCTATGCTGTGTGGAACAGTGGCTTTCAGAGTGTGCCTTGCCCTGAGTAACTCCATTTTGGATGCAACCTCAGAGGCAGGATGACACTGTATCTGGTTCGTGCATGCAGACACCACCACCTGCCCAACAACAAGCCGGGAGGCACAGTGTGCTAGCTTATTCAGGTAAGAAAAGATGCCCATTGAGGAAGATGACACATGAAAACCATATCAGGAAAATCGGGTCTGAGAATTCATCAAACACACTAGACCAGCAAAAAACACAACCCCCTTACCTGGGTCATCTGAAATGAGGGCCCCCTCACTGCCACTGAGGGTCTCACTAATCTGTCCACCCCATGTGTGTACATCAAGAGACTGACAGTCAGATAGCTCCTGAGTGTCCCTTGAGCCTAGCTCTGCTTGACTGGCCCTCTCCTTGGAGTGCCAAATAGGCTGTCAGTCCCTCTGCCTGGCCTCTACTTGCCTTGAGCCTGGCCTGACTCTGCCTCCAGCTGCTTTCTAATTAGATTCTTAATAACTTACCAGCAATGGCTCTTTGCATCTGTGTTACCTGCTGCCTTTAATACACCCACTTCCCAAGTGTAGCCTCTTAATTAACCCCTTTGTAGCCATTCTTACTGTGTGGAGAGTGTGAGTTGAGAGTTAACCTGAGTACGTTAGATTGGAATAAAAGAAGCTGCTATTGCCATGAGTTACACTTCGAAGAGAAACTGGGATTTCTTGGTAAGTCACAGCCAAAAGAGCCGACACCTTGCAGTGTGCCCTTATTTATATCTTACTGGTATGGGAAACACCAAATGTGGCTTCAAGAAGCCCATTTCCACCTGGCCCCAGGCCACTGATCCCTGAGTCCCTCCCCAAAGGACAAAGAGATCCCAGAGTGAGGGAACATTTTACCCATGCCAGCAGCCTACTGCCTGTTAGCCACAGACTTTTGGCACCATGGTTTCAGGGTTCCTTTGCCCAGGAGCCCCAAATCCACGTCCAGGACCCATGTAGGCCCCTCTGCTCCATTCCTTTCTCACTGAGAGATGCCTGAGTGGTGGCTTAGGAAAAATGACTGGGAGTGGGTACAGTTTGGACACACAAGCCAGGTATGTGGTCTGTGATGGCAGTGACGTGGCACAGAGAGATGAGACTTGAGCTCTCCTCCTTATGTTTCTGCTTTGGGCCTACAGGCACCAGTGGCAGGCCTGACCCTCTGTCAGTACACGTAGGGATATTTCACCATACACAGTGGCTGTGGGCTGAAGAGCACACGTTATTCTCTTAACTTTCTGCCTTTCCCTTCTCTAATTCTAGACTACAGATCAAGCAAATGTGGCTTTCAGAGGAAACTGTGTTTTAATGTAACTACTATATTATCTATGGGAATTCCTTTTTGATTAAACATTTTTTGTGTGTATGTGCAATTATAATAAAATCATTTTGAAGTGTTGAAAAATCTACAGAAATTAAACAGCTGCTCAACAGCATGGTGTAGATGTAACCACTATTGTCATTCTGTATATTTTCCCCTCCTAATTTCACTTTGTAATATGTTCTTACATTGTATATGCTGATAATATTTAATGGTGCCAGATTCACAAATTTTAAATTACTTTACTTTAAATGAGTCATTTTTATTTGTAAACTCTTTCAAGGTTACAGAGGAAGATTCCAGGTGAGTATAAGTTCCAATGAAACAGTTATGTCAGGGCAGTCTTAAGTGATCTCCTCTTGCTAGACATTCAGGTTAGCTCTAACTCTTATTACAAATAACACTGTGGTGCACAGTTTTTCATAGTAAATATTTGACCTACTTCTAATTATTTTCCTGGAGTGGATTTCAGGCAGTGAAATTGCTCAGTCAGAAAGTATGAAAGTAAAATCTAATGCCCTCAACACGTGAATTCCATTGCTTGCCACAACTGACTAAAAGGGAGATTCTGAACCTCAGTCATTAGGAAAATCAGACATTTAATATGCAAGTGCTGTGTGTTTGTCATTCAACTTGGGACTACATGAGCAAATACATTCTATTCCAAACTTCCTTCAGTGATTACCCAATGATATTGAAGGAGTCACAGAGCTGGTGTTGAGCCAGGTCATGTCTTCCCACAGCCAGCCTCGACATTGGATCCATCTTACTATCCACTGAAGCCCAGTTCTGAGGACTCCCTGTCTCCAAGGTGGACTCGTGTTGGCAGTGACAGAAGGTGAAGGGAAATAAAGGGGTGGAAAGACCAGAGGAAAGACAGTTGTCTTTGGAGCTTCTGCTCTTTCCCAGCACAAAACTCCCTGTGACTCTTGTGGGTGGGATGCACTGTGGCAAATACAAGAAGATGGAAGGAAATGATGGAAGAAAAAGGAAACTCACACTGGTTTTCTTCTCTGGCTCATTCTTTTCTTCACCCAAGCAACATTTCCCATTCCCATTAATTTGGCAGCAAGATGAACTCTATAGAAAACAACATGAATGGTTAAGTCAGAGAATCATAGAGTTGTAAGAATCCAGAGGAGGTGGGGATGGTTATGATGATGGTACCGTATGATTCCAATATGCATCCCTCCAGATTCATACTGAAGCTTAATAGCCACTGTGATTGTGTTAAAAGAGTTTCCACCCAAGAAAGGACTAATGCCAGTGCAACCAGAGAAGATTCCTATTTGAAGAACAATCTAGGACCCCTTTTGCCTCTCTTTTACCCAAAATTCTCTTCCATTATTGCGGTGCCTTCTGCCAATTTATAGCAAGAGAGCCCTTGCTAGGTGGAAATCCTGATCTTGGATGCACTAGCCTCCAGAAGTGTGACCAATAGATCTCTGTTAGTTAGAATTGATCTAGTGTGTGGTATTCTGTTACAGTAGCATAAAATGGACTAACACACAGTGGTGGTAGAAGAGTTAAACTATGTAAGCTGTGGTCTAGTTTGGTTGAGGAAACAGTCTATGCTCAGCATGATGTTTTGTATTTTGTAGATGTGCTATGTTTTAATCATGATTCCACTTCATGGACAAGAAAAGAAGGGCTAAGTTATATAATTTATCAAATTATGTAGCTAGAGAATTGTGCAATCAGAATTTAAGGCTATGCATTCTGATATGAAGTTAGTTTAAACTCGCTCAGCATAATTTTATATTCTAATTATTAATAGTAACTGCAATTTCCTGATTGCCTATCCTACTCTATGCTTGTGCTCATTGCTTCCTATGTATTGAGTCTTTAGTTTTCAATGAACCTCTACAAACAGAAGGATGGGAAGTAGTTTGTCCAAATGTGGAGTGAGAGACCTGGAGGACCTGGAGCTTCTGAAAATAGGATAATGTCCTCTGGGTTGTCACCAAGATACAAAGATGGGTTCCACTGACAAATCCTTCCTTTTGATGAACCCACAACCACTTTTGAAGCCTTAGAATGAGCCAATTGGCAGAAAGACCCTGTGATCAATGAGTTTAAACCTGGAGCCTACCAACCTAGCTAAGTGGGTAGACTACCCTGGGGGCTAGGGGCTAGAGATTTAGGGATGTAAAAACTTTTTATTTATTTATTTTTGAGATGAGACAAAGTCTTACTTTGCAGCTTATACCATCTCTGAACCCACTGTATAGCTCAGACTGTCCTGAATCTGCCTTAGTCTACCTCTTGAGCACTGGAATTGCAAATGTGTGAAAACATGCAGTTCTAAGAACTTCTGGGGGCTGTGAGAGGTCTGAGTGGGTAAAGTGCTTTCTGAGTTCAATTCCTGGAACTCAAGTATAGAAAGAGAGAACCAACTTAACAAGTTGTTCTCTGACCTCCACATACATGTGTGACCGCACACGTTACACACATGTCCTCATACTATATAAATTTTATAACATACAAAAAAACCACTTGAACCAGAGAATTTATGAGCCTTTAGGATGGTAAAGAACCCCTGTACTAGGTGCATGATAGTCTTCTAGGCCACTGACTGGAGCCCCTTTCGGGATGTTTCCTGCTGCACCAGTTTCCCTAGCTATCCACCTGTTCCCTTTACAACAGAACAAGCAGTATTTCCTGAGTTATGTTGACTATCCTGAAAAATTATTAAAGCTGAGGTGGTGAAGGCCTAGGGTGTCTTGAGTTTTCGCTAGTGGATCAGAAATACCAACAGCCCAGACTGGAATTTGGTAAGATGAAGTCAGTCTTGTGAGCCCTTACATTATAGATTGTAACACTAACTCTTAGTTAGTGTCAGAACAGTTTAACTATGTTAAGCCACAGAGTACCCTATGAATGTCTAGAGGGTTGGAAGACTGTGTGGTGTGGGAAACCCTGCACATCTGACATCAGGATTGTTACAAGGGCTGTGGGAAAGCATCAAGTGTCTGCTTCAGAGGAGTCTGCAGATGCTGAGGGCAGAGAGAGTCCCAGACTGATGCTTTGTTGATGTTGCAGATCACACTTTCAATTGAATCCACCTAACGTGAGTGATGGAGAAGACTTCTCCCGTCTTCCCATCTCCATCAGTACTAATCTCACTGGAATCACACTCAGAGGAAAGAGGGGCATTCACTTGATGGAAATGTTTCACTCGGGCTATGTCTCAAGCAAAAGTGCTGTGGAAGCGACAGTCTGAGAAACAGACTTTTTTGTTTTGTTCTTTATCATGAAGCAAGATGTTCGAATGGCCTAATCCATTTTCACTAAGAATATGCCATTTCCAAACTTCACCTTCAAAAAAAGAGCTATTATGGCTCTACCTGTCTGTATTTCTGAAAAAAATACCCAGTTGTGCTTACTGAGATGGGCAAAATCAGAACATCATTTTTCTTTAAAACACAGTATTGCACTTTCCTTGAAACCCATCTAGCCTGTGTGCTGGGGTGTTTAGGAAGGATCCAGCATGGGAGTGGGCAAGATGGAGGCTCTCCAGCCATCAGTCATTTCACTCACAGGGCTGAAACTTTTCATACTCTCCACAATGGGTCTGTATCTAGTGCAGCGGCATCAATTACCTGGTGAATGAAATACACAGTTTCAACTCCAAGGTCATTTCTCTGGGCGTGCTGTATCTCTCTCATTCATACAGAGTCTTTCTCTTCACCCATAACACCCCCCTTGCCCATCATTGAAAAGTCCCAAGAATCTTTCCAGATGTCACACATGTTATCAGGAATTACTCACGACCCATTTGTGGGGTACATTCTTAAGAGAGATACAGAAGAGAAACTCAGTGAAAGGAAGGACAAAATCAGAAAATATCACTGTAAGAGATACAATTCACATGCCAGAGATGTACATAGCTTGAGAATAGTCACTGCTGGGTCCAGACCGTTTTTTCCAGGATAGTTGTGTAGAGAAAGAAAACACAGGGTCTCATTGCAGAAATGAGAGCTTTTAGTATAAAAAAGATAAGCCACCTTCCAGGGAATTTAGCACCCATTAGATAAGACTTAAGTTTCCTAAGTCCAGGGTTCTTCCTTGTAACATAACCTATCACCACAAGGGAGTTACTGGCTCTCTTCAAATTGCCTGTGGGGTCTGGGACCCAGGAGCTGCTGTGGGTGCAGCTACTCCAGCCATGTTTGTTCTATTGAGGCCTTGACCCAGGTGGGGATCTCATGTCTCCACAGGGTCCAACAACAGTGGCAGGATAACTTGATGGCTGGTGAGCAGGGTGAAGTCACAGACCTTTGCAAGTTCCTGAGTACCAGTAGGTGGTGTTGGCAATCTCATCCTATCAGAGGGACTGACCCCGATACAGAGGGGTCATCTCACATTCCAGAGTCTCTTGGCTTATCAGGTGAGATCGTAGACTCTGAGGCTAGGATGGCATTTCTGTTCTGTTCTGTATTTTGTACAAAAGTTTACAGAATGCTTCAATAGAATCATCTGCATCAGAAGCCCTTGTGACTCATTGTCCCCAAGATTAGGGACCACAGGCACATTGCCTGCCATAGAACAGGCAAATTGTGAATGCTTACAGAAGGACAAGGGACTAAATTAGAGAGATAGATGACTCAAAACATACATAAATTTTGCTCAAGCGTACAAAGTAAAGGAGTCTGCAATTTTCTAGAGAAAATAATAAGAAAAAACAGTCATGTAAACAAATTCAGACAAGGTGATAAGGACATGGAGTCTATATCGATTACCTAGGTTCAAAAACGGATTCCTCCTCTCACTAGGTTCCCCATTTTGCACCTAAAGTTCCTTTTTTGCATGATTGACATGTAGTACTTACATGGAATAGTATATAGTGTACAGAAAGTACTCAAGAAATTAGCTGTTGTGGCAGGCTGTAGATGTGGGAACACAGACTGAAGTCTGCAGAGGATGACTTTTAGGTTTGGTGCATTGAGTCTTTGGGAGTCTAGCAAGAACCTCTAAAACCTGAAGGGATGAGACTCGATAACACAGGTGGCAATGTTATAAAATAAAAACTAACAAAGGCGCCAGCACCTAGGATCATCACACACATAATTTAGTGGAAATCCAAGAACTTTGAATGAAGGGTACTGAGGCCATTAGGGTGATGGCTCAATGAGAGACGCAGGCTGTGGGCTCTGTAGCATATCACGAGCCACGCTGCTTCCTGAAGGCAATTGTTCTGGTTACTGTTCCCTTTCCTGACTTGCTGTATTAACCTGATTCTCTGATGCTTACTACCTGTGACTTTTGAAATCTGCTTGCAGTCCCTGAGTTTTCAATGAGATGTCAAAAGTCCTTTGTTGATGAACCTAGCTTCTTCTTTGACTCAAGGCTCTGTGTGAATAGGTTTTTCAGCAGCCCCTGCAGCCCTTATGTGGAAACCCTTCATATTGCTTGTGTTAGGGTTTCTATTGCTGTGAAGAGACAATTTGACCATGGCAACTCTTATTAAGAAAACATTTAATTGAGGGTGGCTCGATAACACTTTCACAAGTTCAGTCCATTACCACCATGAAGGGGAGCATGGAGGCAGTCAGTGTGCAGGCAGTTTTGGTGTTGGCTACATCTTGACTGGAAGGCAGACTGGAAGTCGACTGAATGTAACACTGAGTGAAGCTTGAGAAAAGAGACCTCAAAGCCCGCCCCTACAGTGATGTACTTCCTCCAACAAGGCAATACCTCCTAATAGTGCCATTCCCTTAGGGGGCTATTTTCTTTCAAACCACCACATTGTGCCAGCATTTGGCTGCTGCAGGGGGTGGACAACACAGGTCACCTGGCCCAGTGCAAGTTACAGACAAAACATTTCTTGGAGAAGCTATAACAGAGGAAGCTACAGCTGAGAAAACATTCTTTAGTGACCCAAATTTGGGAGGTTTCACCTCTGCTAAAAAGGGGGTTGGGGTAAAGGCTTCTTGAGGGTCATAAAGGTCAGAGAAACCAGTGTCAGGCAAGGCTGTAAAGCTAACCACACAGGCTGTGATAGGACAATGGCAGGTATTGGAGACAGGGTCTCTGAAGGTGAAGAATGCTTGATGTTCTTCTTTAGGGCAGTAGTTGTGAAGAGGCAATTTCAAAAAGGACAGCACCGTGACAGAGCCACAGATGGAGGCATAGCACACAAGGAGGGGAAGCCCTCAGTTGTGGGATTTAGAGGACGTAACTGGATGTGACAAGAAGTGAGGGACCAGGGCTGTGATCAGATTGCTTCCTGATCAGAGCTGCCTGAAATGAGAGAAGAACTGTTGAAAGTCATAAGGCAAAGCAGAAAATGAAGAGAAGAGTGTGGTACAGAGCAGTGTCAGGTTGACTGGACACGAGACTGAGGTAGGTTTGGAGAAAATGCTATCAGCATCAACCACACATCAAAAGAGAACAATCACATTACTCAATGAAGACAGTAATGTTGACACATCAGAGAGAAGGCCTCACTCTTATAATCACTCACATATTTCACACAACAGGATACCTGGTAACTAAGCATCAGTGGAGCCTTGTCCAAAAAGCCTTGGAGTCTAAGATACATGGAAATTTAAGAGAACTCGTAGCCTCTTTTAATTTGTTCAGGATGTCAGATGGGATCAAGTAAAATATGTCTCATGACAAGATGAGCCTGTGAAACCATGAGCAGCAATCTTTGTGAGACATAACAATAAACCAAAGTGGTTCTAGAACATCAGAGACAGGCGACCCTTGACCTGTTTTTATTTTTTTAAGATGGATATTGGTGAGGTTGACTCTACTCTTGGCCAGTCCTCTGGATGTGTTCTGACAGGGGTTATTTGTGACAGAGCCTAAAAACAGTGGTCTCTAAGAAGAGACTAGGAACTTAAGAAAGCCAGCCTTCTCCTTTGGGATAAGAATTCTGGGGTGGATCTGCTTAATTCCATGGACATAATTGCATGGAGATTTCATAGGGCACTTGAAAAGTTTGGGCTCCTCTGTATGGAGGACAGAAAATGTAAATGCAAGGGACACAATTAAACAACAGTTCAGTGTTAATGATGTTGATTAATTAGCTCTGCTTGGCTTATTTTATTAAATAGTTTAGTCCATGACTTGCATAAAGACAAGAGGCAATGTTCATAAGATTTGCAAAAATGGAGAAATTAAAAATGTCTTGACAGAATGATATGTGCATACAAGATTTGAGAAGAATAAAGTTTTCTTAGGGGACAAAGAAGGAGAAATTAACTTTGAAGTCTCAAGGCATTTCAATGGCAAACATGTTTATGAGTCAGTGCATTTTCCTCCTTGATTCATAAGAGTCGGGGATTTCATGAGTGTCAGTTATATTCCAGTAACAAGTGTGACAGCAAGGCAGGCTCAGCAACAAATAAAAACAAACCACAAGGTCTCTGCTTGTGTAGGCTAGCTCCAACCACATAATCCCAAGATCTCAAAGTCTTAATATGTCCTAAAACCATCTCAATAACACTGAAAGCACATCTCTTGATGCTCAGAAAGTGACTATTTCAGTGAGCACATGGCATGTTGAGATGCGCTATAGTAAAGTCACAAGAAATGATACGTTGCCAAGAATGTAACAGTTACATGGAGAATGTACTTGACTTTCACCTGGTTGCCTCAGTCTGCCTCCCTGCTCAATGGGGATGAGTAATACTTTTCAACACTGAATAAGAAGTGTAGATCATAAAGATCACTATAGATCTGTGTCAAGTGCTTTGGCTTTCTGTGCATGAAGATGCTCCAGCATCCCTGCTGCCTCCTTATCCTACAATTTACGAAGTTGAGACTTACCACCCAAGGTTTCTGTTAACTGTTCCAATGAGGGTTCTGGATGGTTTCTGAGGAGAGCATAGATACTCATCACCATGCCTGGAGTGCAGAACCCACACTGGGTACCATGGCCTTTAGCAATCCTTTCCTAAAAATGAAGAGCAAGAGTATTCCAGGATGAGACTTTCAGTCCTCAGAAATGAAATGAAATGTTTTTGTTTGGTTCAACTACAGGCAGGTTCAGACTCTATCACATAGTGTAACAGCCAAAGTCAACCTGTAAGCCCTATTTGCCCAAGGACCAGGTAACTTCATAGAATGCTGGAAGTTGTAGTTTTTGGAAAATAACAAAGCCACTGGGAGATACAGTGTCCTTATGGTTTTGTCCTTAAAAAGCCCTATATTGCCTGTCACTAGGAATCACAGGTGGACCTGGCAAGAGTCTATCCTGATAGTATGTAATTAAATATTGCTTCAAATGTCTGTGAATCAAAATTGTGGGACTGGGTTTTCTCTTGAGAATCTCAGGAGTAACAATAGCAACCACTAATCTGCAATTGTTCATATTTGCAATATGAGGAGGAGATTTTTCCGGGAAGATTCCACTGAAGTGGTTGGAAAGGGATTTCTGAATGTCACCCTGGTGCCTTCCATCAAGGGCACAGTTTAAAGCCACCAAGACCACTTTTATTTTTATTACTTCCTCATTCTGCTACCACACAGGTAACCCTTTTATCCTCGTTTATTATCAGGGACCATTTCCATGAAGGAAAATCTATCTTTCTACATCTTGCCTTTTGGTTTAACTTTGGCAATTACCTGAGGTTTTGTTCACATATGGACATTTTTACTAAGAAATATTTAGTACATGAATTGGAAGATTCTGTAGTTGGCCAGACACTGATATACTCAGCTGTGCCTCTGATAGCAGGGGTTTCTTAGAGGCAGGAGGACAAGCAGGCCTGTGATTTGGTAGTCTGTCAATCATCTCTTGAAAAAGCAATGAACTCATTTGTGTGTGTGTGTGTGTGTGTGTGTTATGGTTGCATGGGTATGACTTCATGAGTGTGTGCATGTGTGTACAGATGCATGTGAAGGACAGAGATTAATGTCATGTGCCATCCTTAATTGTCTACCACATTATTGTCTGGGTTAGGGTTTCTCACTGAACCCAGACCCCATGAATTCAATTAGAGAATTTGGCCAGCATGCCCTGGAGTTCTTCCTGTCTCTGCCTCCCTACTGTGGGATTGGAGGAATGACCATTGTACCCAGCTATTTACATGAGTGCAAGGGCGGGGGAGGTGTCTACAACACAGGTCCTTATTGGGATTACAATGCCAGTTCCCAGTCTACCAGTGAGGAAATCAAATCAGGAAATCAAGACAGGAACTTGAAGGCAGTGCTGCTTACTAGTCCACATAGCATTACCTATGACCAGGGAACTCAATTCAAAACCAAAAAAGTGTGGTAAAACTGTGGAGGATGCTGCTTGCTGGCTGTCAGGCAGGCTCATGCTTAGCTACTTTTCCTATATAGAACCATCTGTTTAGGGAATGGTGCTGCACTGTAGGCTAGGCCTTTCTGCATCAATTAACAATCAAGACAATCCCCTTCAGACAGACAAACAGACTAACCTGATCTAGACAGCTCCTCTATTGAGGTTTTCTTGCCAGATATCTCTAGTTTGTGTCAAGTTGAAGGTTAACGTTAACTAGGATAGCTTGTTAAATCTTAGACTTGTTAAAACATGCTCTTACCTGGACAGGGTGAATCCTGGTTTTGGTGCTCCCTATGCCTTCAACAGTAGTGACAGCAACCCCATGGAGAGAGCAGATGGGGACCAGACAGGCAGCAACAGAGAAATGACTTCCAAGTTTATACAGTGAAGTCAAAAAGGATTCATAGAAACAACAGCAGTATTGGAAAACAAAAAAACCACATTTACAGGATTATAATTATTTTGACATGAAGATAATTGTGTGCATGGTAAAACTAAATAATCAAATAAATGATTTTGAATTTAACTACGTCTGTCTAAAAATAAATGTTACAATTAAGAAGGTCATTATCTCCCTAAATTATCTTGTTAAAAACAGGAGTTGAAGTGATCTTGGTTGATAGGCCCACTTAATCCTGTCAGTATAAAAACTAGTCAAATAAGGAGCTGTTTCTCTTCTGAGTGATATAGGTTGTGTGTGGTTGCAGAGAAAGTCTGAAAGGCTTAGGAAGAAGCTAGGTGAGGTGAGCTGTAAGGTGTATTATTTCCATCAGAGTCTATGTCCATGAACACAAGTCACTTTGCTTGGTGTCCTGTGCTTTGGGAAAGAGTAACTTCATAGGAAGGAAGAAGCAGGCTTTCCCAGCTCTTGGGGTGGCACTTGTCCGAAGGATCTTGGCTTATAGACCAGTGGACTCGGGGTCCATGAACTAATAATATTCACTAGTTCTGTGACAACGGTGAGAGTATTGATTCCCTCAGAAACCCAGGTTCCACCATTTGTAAAATTCAGTGCCAGCAATGCTAGCTCTGTGCCACATTCTGCAAATAGTAACTTTTAGCTTTTTTATTTTAGTTCTAGCTCATAAAACTGAGGTTGTCTCAGATTCCTTTCTGGAGTGAAGTGCAGTCCACAATGCGCCATACACAAGTCCTATGGGGAGTCAGTATGCAATTGGTCACAGGCCTGGCTATATAGGAAAGGTACCTGATCTTTTTGGTGATGGGGTCATATCTTGAGATCATCACTGTACAGGCACCACAGTCACCTCCTCCACAGCCATACTTTGTCCCTGTGAGTTGGACTGGAAGGGTTATTGTTAAGGAAGAAAGAGGAACTTGAACTTTCAGCTCTTTTCATATAAATTTTCACAGCTGGCAAGAATGATATCAGGGCAGGTTGTATATTTCTTTTCTTGTGATGATAAAATAACTGATAAAAGCAACTTAAAGGCAAAAATTGTTCACTCTGACTCACAGTTCAAGGTACAGTCCACTGGGGTGGGGAGGTCAGGGCACCAGAAACTTGAAGAAGACACTGACATTGCTTCCACAGTCGAGAAGCAGAGCCCCAAATGCAGCGTGTCACTGCTCAATTTGCTTCCTCCAATTTATACAGTCCAGGATCCCCTCTGCCAGAGACCGGTCCCCCCCCCACAGTTAAGACAAGTCTTCCCATATTGACTCATATAAGACAACCTTCCACAGGCATGCCCAAAGAACATATCTCAGATGGCTCTAGGTTCTGTCAGGGTGACAATGAACACTTACTGTCTCAGTATAGGACTCCTTGAAGTACCTCACTTGCCTGAAAAATGTGGGTGCTCAGCATAAATCAGTCAGAATGTGGCATCTTATAGACAGCAGTCACTGTAGGGGGGAAGTATTCAGACTGACAGAAATCTGGAACAGCAAGAGAGATCCCTCTATCCCCCAGCACTGTGAAGACCTGGTCACTCCTGTTAGAAACACTCCACCTTTGCTTCCCAACAGTGCTGTCCCTTTACTCACAGTAAAGGGAGAGGAGGCAACTACAAAGCATCCCAACCACTGAGGATGGAGCATTTCCAGTGTAACTGGAGACCTCACAACACAACTTCTATTGATCAAGGAGACAGGAAGGTAGGAAAGAAGAAACAAAGGCCAAAAACACAATAAAGGTGGGTGTGCTTGGCCTAAAAAGAGGGCAGAGAAATTTAGAGTTACCTAACACAGCGGTCTTTAACCCTTCAGTTCATTCTTGAGTTGACAGTGGGGAGGGTGGGAATTGTAACTCTTTGTAGTCATAGTGTTGGGTAGCTAGTTATAAATCAGCAAGTTTTCCCATAGTCCTTGAAATGCTATGCAGGCTGCTTGGGGAGAATTGTCATTAATATTTTATTCAGCCGTGAGCTCTTTGTATAACACTACTGACTGAAGATGTGTTCACTAGTACAATAGTGGCAAGTCTGTTGTGAGGGTAACCAACTAGATTTGCTTAGATTTGAGTCCCATTGTCAAAAGCTTGTGACTGGAGAGGTCATAGTCTACAGCAGGGAAGATACTGTTGTTTTGCTAAATGGACTTGATACACTTGTCAAATGCTTTCTACATAATTTTGCTCATGCCCACAGATTAGTGCTGCTGTCAGACTTAGTCCAAATGATTCTTTTTTCCAATGGGCATCAGCAATTAATGAGATCCATAATTAGTCAAAGTGATGAAAATAAGTGACTGTTGAATGCTCAACCATGAGTTAGAAATCTACATCACCCCCTCCAAGACTTAGGGAACATCATGGAAGAGGCTGTTTTCTGGGCATGATATGGCCATTGAACTCTTGAACTCAGAGCAGCTGTGATGATCTGCCAAGACCTGCACAAGAGTGGTAACATCAACACTCTTAAAATTGGAATGGGATGTGTCATGCAGCAACACACCTCTGCGAATTTATAGACAGTTAATGGTTGTTAGGAGAGGAAGAGATGTTTTCTTTGGGGTGAAGCCACTGGTAAGGTTTCCCTCCCCTGGAAGATAGATAACCCACACCCATGGTCCCGTGAGCAACCCTAGTGAAGCTCACTGCTTCATAAAAAAGAAAATATACACACAAAAGTAGAAGAAGGGCAAACTGGGGAGAGGAAGGAGGTCAGCAAGAGTGGGAGGGGTCAAAAGAGGGTAACGGGGTGACTCAAAATACAGTATGTATGTATGTATGAAAATACCATAGTAAGCCTATTATTAGGTATAAAAACCATAATGCCAATTAAAATGACAACAGCAAAAGAAATGAGCATGCTTCAAGGTCATCAGGGAAGGATCCCTCTTTTGGGATCACTGTGGGACTCAATTACTACAGCCCTGCTGACACAGCAATTCTTCAGGAAGGGGAAGCATCCCAACTGCTCCACCTAATTGCCCTTCTCTAAGATACCAAGTGGAAGGAGAGCTAGAGAGCAGATGGAGGTCAGGTAGGCAGAGGGATCAGGCTTTCCCTGAAGTGTGGCTTCTTTCTTTTTACTGCGTTTGTTTTTAGAAAGAGTCTCAGGTAACACTGAACTTCTGATCCTCCTGCCTCCACCCTCTGAGTGCCGGGGTTATTGGCAGGTACTGCCACACCTGGTTTATTTGTGGTACTGGGGACTGAATCCAAGGCTTTGTGCATGGTACGTATATTCTGTACCAATTGGGCTACATCCCAGTCTAAGCTAGTCATTTTATAGGATTTTTTCATTTTTCTTTAATTATTTTAACCTTCCCTGGTATGTGATTTTTTGGTAAATAAATGAATGAATCTGTGTTGAGCTCTGGCCCCATGTGAAGACACGACTTTTATAAAGTCCGGGGAAGACTATATGATTATTATTTAGCTTTCTGATAAAGAACAAAGGAATATCTCATTCAGTAGTTATTCCAAATGGGCCTGTCAATACCTGGACTGGAAAATGCTCCTCAGAAACCTCTCTGCTCCAGAGACATGAGGTCTGGAACATAACAACCCACTTAAACACACGCATTGTCACAGGGGTCCTTTTGGCCATTATCCAACCTCACTCTTGAGAGTGCTTTCCTCTCCAGCGGTCCTTTTGGTCATTCTCACTCTTGAGCATGTCCTGTTAGTCCACGGTATATTCAGCTGTCTCCTACATATGCTCTGTGTCTCACCTGAATCACAGCAGTGAGTAGCCAAGGGTAACAACAGCACATCCATCTGGTTACGTGAGTGAGGGATATCCAAGTGTAAAGAATAGACACAGACAGAGGTACATGTACACACACTCATATGTGCATGCACATACCCCCCACAGATGCATGCCTACACACATGCTCACACAATAATTTTATACACAGACAAAATTTAAAAATATGTGTTTCTCCATCCCTGCTTCCAAGAACACAAAACTATTCTGAAAACAAAAAACAAAAAATAAAACAAAACAAAAAAAACCCCAAACACAACTCGTATCTGGCTAGTCTACCTTTAAGGGTGGATTTGGTTGCTTCCCAGACTTGAAAATCATGGTGACGACAGGTTCCTCATCCCTATCTTGGCCCAGTTTAGAAATCTTCACATTTTTGCCTGTACCCATGCAATAACTGGGAACATCCAATGAGAAATCTGACAGAATTTGATGTTGTTTGTGTAAGAACAAAACACCTGGATGACCCTGACCCCGCCCCCTAACAACGGGGCACTCACTCACCCTATATGCATTGCGACCTGTGAGGGGCAAAGCCCCACTGCGCATATGCAACCTTTCCTTTAAAAGGTCCTGCCACCCATCCCTCGCTCTCTTCCTTTCGGCTCCTCTTGGGTTGGCCGACTACCCATCCCCCTCTTTTCCCTTTTCTGGTAAATAAACTCCACGTGGGTTGTTTATCCATTGTTCCTTTCTTTATATTAGCAGCTGCAGCTTAAACAAAAGAATAACATTTTGGTGCCCAGACTCTAAATATGCTTTTCATATCCTCCTGTCCCATGCAGCTATTTGGAAGGAACGTGGGCTACTTACTACAAGAGGAGGATCCATAACTAACTCAGGTTATATTATGGCCATGCTAAGGGCTTCTCACCTCCCCAAAGCTATAGGAATTATTCACTGTCGGTCACACCAGACTGACAGCTCCGTTATCTCTAGGGGCAATAATCGGGCTGATAGAGCAGCTAGGGCTGCAGCCCTCCGAGTTCATACACTACACCCCACATCCTCACAGCCACCTCCTGACATGAGACAAATTCTGTCCTACTTACACAAGCTTTTCCACCCTAACAGTAAGGCTCTTTCTCTGTTTGTCAAGGCTCACCTCAAGCCTACTTCTGAGGACTTAAATTTCTTAAAAACTATCACTGCCTCCTGTAGAACCTGTCAGATGTCAAACCCTAATTCCAAGTATCGTAACTCCCCCTTTTCCACACACCAGGCTAGGGGCTCTCTCCCAGGGACTGACTGGCAACTTGA